AGTGCCACTAGCACACAAGGGGTTACAGAAAGTGGGAGCAAGAGTAAAGAGGCGTGAAAGGGGAAAGGATGAGGAGAAGGACGGGGAATAGATCAAGGCATTTGGAGATATCGATTGATATTGCATTTGAATAGCTGGAGATTATAGCTATCCAGGAAGCAAGTAAGAGGAAGGGAGTTCCACAGACGGGAAGTGCGAGACATGAACCTATTAAACCGTTTCGACAGTGAAAGTGTGAGATCGAGATGCCGACCTAGTGGCACGTTTAAATTCATGCAGTTTGGGAACCAGCGAAAGTAGCTCGTCGGAGCAGTTACCGTGAAAGTATTTGTAGAAAAGACAGAGGGGGGGCGCTGTCACGTCTGTGAGAGAAACGACTGTAAACGAGATGCCAGATCACGGCCAACCACATTGCATATCCGTCTCTGGATTATGTCGAGGACCCTAAGACCAACAGCGGGGACTCCAGAGCATATATGACAGCAATATTCCATGCAATGGCGAATGGTTAATTTATAGATTTGAAAGATGGACTCGGGCGAGAAAAACTTTCTGTCGTGACACAGAGAACAAACTTTCCTTGCGGTAGATATGAACTTCGTAATTCAGTGAAATTGTACAATCGGCAATGCAACCGGAAATAAACCTTTTTTTTTTTCAATGTTTTGTCTTTTCATATTAGGATATATTAAACAATCCAAATCACTAATATTGATGCTTTTTTCTTTTAGTTTTATTAAAATACTATTGTTGCTTTCATTTTTCACCGCTCCACTAGATATTGCCACCGCCCCCAGGGTTCGGTACCGCCCACTTTGGGAATCACTAATCTATAGTAATATAAAATAATCGGATGGGAAGTTCTTAGGCTGACCAAAATAAGTAAGTAGACACTCCAGTTGGTAGACGAAAAGACATGAAAGTCAGCCTAGGAACTTTTCAGCCGACTCACGTATTAAAAAAGAATTCCATATTCTGAATTTTTGTTTTACATTTTAAGAAAACATGTTTTATAAACATATTTTGTTTTGCCATCTGCAGGTGGAGGGGGACAATTTACAATGAATTTATATAGCAAACTGCATCGTATATTAACTTTTATGACATTTAATATATTTTTCATATATTATTGATCTGGCATTCAAATTTTCTTTTCAGGTTACTATAGATTAGCTATAACTATATCAAAAGAAAATATGAAAGAAATATTTCTGGTCGCTGTGCAAGGCAATAAATCCAATACGATGCAAGTGATTACTGAAAGGGAAACAATATTAAAAAAAAAACATTATTAAGGAGAGTGAACAATAAAAAGAACAGGACTTAAGAGTATAAAAGTTAACGATAGGCATTGTATTTAAATTTTTGATGATCAAAGCAAGAGGCGGGAAGCGAGTTTAACAAGCAAGAAGAAAATGTTATCATAGTGCTTGAGATGAAAGGAATAAAAAAAAAGCACACTAAAGCTTAATAAACAAGAAATTTCAGCTTAATGATAAGGTTACATCATAATCACAATTCCGGCAGATGTATCATTCTTTGCTGTCTGCGGTCTGTTCAATTAATTTGAAAGATTTCAGGAAGGTTCATCCTGGCCTAAAAGAAGAACGAATTATGTTGACCAGGCGAAAAGCAGTGTGCATAAGCGGTGATGATATTATACATTTAAAAAAAACAGGTTTTTGATTTGAGTGATTTTTACGGTTTATCAACCTTTTGCAGAGCATTAAAATCCAGAAAATATATTTAGATTGAAAGAATCTTTACATGATAATAATGATTTACCGATACACGTAATACTAATTAATCCATAGCTGAGGAGAGATGTGGTGCATTCATGCCTTTTCCAGTGGCATGTGAATATAACGAACCCAAATGGAATTGGAACACGGTTCATTGATTACCAATTCCTAGCCATTATTCTTACATCCTGGTATTCCCAAGTGATCTCCCATCTAGTTACTGACCAGGATCGATGTTGCTTAACTTCGGTGATCGTACCAGCTTTGTGTATCACTGTAAAGTACAGTAAGAGAACCACTCTGCATAAAAGATTTGGAACTCTGTATTAATCGTATTTTATTTAACAACAGAAATAATGGTGCTGAAGTTTGTTTTTCTAATAAAAGGATGTCAACTCGAATTCCAACCAGTTTCCTTTCGTGAGGCTCAGAATAAACGCTACTATCGTTCAATCTGCGTCACACAACTACAACTTAAAAGACAACCATTAAAATAAATTACACAACAATTAACAACTAATTCCTTGAAAATGGCTAAAGAAGCGCGCGAAAGCGCTTAGGAAAAATAGACGACGGAAAAATTTTAACCTCCTTTAGCCCCACTAAAAGGAAAAAATATAAGAATATTTCAAAAGCTCAATAAGAAAAATTCATCAAATTTTCTTGTCTGTCATATTCAACGAAACATGTTTGAAAGAAGGGTCACTGCCCAAATATCTCTATCTATAAAAGGCAGGATGTGTGTGTGTGTGTCTGTGTGTCTGTGTGTGTAACGAATGCACGGCCGAAATTTTCGACGGATTTGCACCAAAATTTACATGCACATGCTCCAAGTTAGCGGGAAGGTCAAGACCGACTTTGCATTTCCCAACTCCTATCGATAGTGGAAATAATCGATTTTTTTCATGCTTCTACAGCAGTTTTCATGTAATTTGCAGCATTTTTTTATTGGCCAGAGTGAGAGGCAATAGCTGACTGCCACGAATAGGCAGGAAGATTCTATTGGCCAGCGTGAGAACCAACAGCTGACTGACCCGAATGTTAACTAGCATGCTAGCATGCAAAAAAAATCGATAGCTGCATTCGTCACAAGTGGGAAAAATTTAAATCTGCATGGCATTTTACTCCAATTAGTTCATTCGCTTGCTTAAACTCAACGTTGATTCTGGTTCCGCAGAACTGGGTTGGGTGTGAAAAAGTATTTGTTGTTAACATTCTTTTTTCATTCGGTTTTTCCAGTCACGAGTCCTTTTTTTAAAGCTGATCGTTTTGTGTTCATTTTGTTTAGTTCTTTTTTCGTAACAGATTTAATGTTTAGTATAGAGCTTAGAAAAAATTCGCAGTGTGAGATAGGCAAGAAGTAAGGCATGTAGCAACATCAGCACGGCAAAGGGCACTCCTTTAAAGGCAAGGAAGGGCAAAAATATTTTAAGTCAAGTGATAGCGATTGCTGTATGAGTCGTACGATTTTTGAATCAAGCACGGGCAACTCCGGGCCATGCTGATAGTACATTATATATATATATATATATATTATGATACAGACAACTTTAAGTGTTCATGAGATTATGATTTGTTTCCTTAAGACCGGAATTTTGGTCCTAATTCATCAGATCTTCATTTTCATATAAAAATATCGGTAACAAATTTTTCCAAGTTTAAAAACTTACATATTATTATTTTGTTTTAATTTATTCACACATGTGTTTGAGGAGGAGACAGTTTTAAGTTGGTATAAGATGATAGAGAGAAGAGGAGGAAGACGATAGATATGTGATCGAAACTAAAGAGGGAAAGGAGACATAGGGAGACGTTTATATCTATCTTTATTTAGATAAGAGACCAGACATGTTGACCTATTTATCAATATTTGCTCTGTTTTTACATTGAGCTCTCTCGATTAGATCCTCCTTGGAATTATTCATACGGATTACGAAAGAACTATATATATATATATATATATATATATATATATATGAATAAAAAGGAGACAAACTATTCTTAGCCGATTTTTTCCTCGTCTCTTTTTATTCAGAGGCGACAGTTTGTTTTATGCTAATGGCAATTGTCATATGGCCTGATGATTGCGTTTAGCATGAAACTGTCGCCTCTGGGTGTTAACTTCAATGTCCATTTTTATATCAACATACGCTCTATCCCCAATATTGGGTATTTTAACAATACAGCATATCATAAAACTGTATTTTATCATATATATGTATGTATGCATGTATAAATTCGCGTTCCAAGATCAAAATAACCTTGAACTTTTCCCGCTTCTTAACAATCATTATATTTTTTTATTCCAATCGATATTTCTGGCGTCACTTGGCGTCCCAGAACGGCATTTTGAGTAAAATGTTCTGCCAAGTGGATATGTAAGCCGATGTTATTTCTTTCAAGCCTTGCCACTTCTAATCCAGTCGATGAGCGAATCTCAATCCAAGGAAACGAACATTCAGTATTATAGATGAGTGGTCACCGCAGAAATTTTGTAACCAGCCTTTCAGAAAGTAAAATCTCCGTAATTATTAAGTATAACTTCATCTAGCGCATAGTTGCGACACATGGCAACAAAGACGTGGTTCTACAGGAGGATGCTGAGAATGAACGGAAAATGCAAGCAACGATGAAGTTTCTAGCAAAATGGGAAACAGAAAAGACACTCGTACTTAGAATCAGAATAAGGTAATTAATTAATATTTCTCGGACACATAACGAGAAAAATGAGCTTGGAGAAGTTGACACTTACAGGATATATTAAAATCAAAGGGGCAAAAGGAAAAAACAATAACTTAATTTGCTAATCTATTTAGTTGAAATAGGTACCATGTTGATGAATGACTGTTCTCGAACATAACTCTATTTTCTTGTTCCCATCTTTAAAAAAATTCTCATCCTTTGATTTGATAAACAGTTCAAATACTTTGATTGCCTCTTCGTTATTAAAGAATGTTTAATTACGTATGAAAGGCTCAAAATTCTTAACTCAGTGAGAATCTTTAGAATCAAAATTTCTTAACTACGTAAGATAATAGGTGAATGTGGAGAATGATGCAAAATTTCGCGTGATGACTCTTGGATTGACGTGGAGTTGGGGTGTAAGTATTAGCAATACCAGAAAGTGATTGTCGGCGGTCTGTTCATTGCACATGAAATGGATAGTTGCACGATCGACCATGTTGGCAAAACAAATTCGAAATTAATATAACTGCTCTGACATTAGACACTGCTTAATGTGTATTTTCGTGCTACTGCTCATTTTTTGCTTGATAGATAGATAGATAGATAGATAGATAGATAGATAGATAGATAGATAGATAGATAGATATAAATAGACTTGTGATGGATAGATATAAATAGATTTGAGATAGATATAAATAGACTTGTGATAGATATGAATAGATTTGAGGTAGATAGATATGAATAGACTTGTGATAGATAGATATGAATAGATCTGAGATAAATAGATATGAATAGACTTCTAATAGATAGATATGAATAGATTTGAGATAGATAGATATGAATAGATTTGAGATAGATAGATATGAATAGACTTCTAATAGATAGATATGAATAGACTTGCGATAGATAGATATGAATAGATTTGAGATAGATAGATAGATAGATAGATAGATCTGAAGAAAGTAGATAGATAGATAGATCTGAAGAAAGAACTTGATAGATAGATAGATTGATAGATAGATAGATAGATAGATAGATAGATATGAATAGACTTCTAATAGATAGATATGAATAGACTTGCGATAGATAGATATGAATAGATGTGAGATAGATAGATAGATAGATAGATAGATAGATAGATAGATAGATAGATAGATATGAATAGACTTCTAATAGATAGATATGAATAGACTTGCGATAGATAGATATGAATAGATTTGAGATAGATAGATAGATAGATAGATAGATAGATAGATAGATAGATAGATATGAATAGACTTCTAATAGATAGATATGAATAGATGGGTATCTAGATAGATAGGAATAGACTTAACATAGATAGATAGAAAAAAGAAAGAAATATTTTATTACTTAATATTTTATAGTATAAAGCACAATATTTGTTTATTTATCGTCCAAGTTGCCTGACCTCAGCTACATAGTATTTTTAGATTACATTATTTATATGGTAGCAGAAAACATTCGACAATACCAATGGTATAACTCATTTTTCAAGCAATGAGAACACGTTGCACACGTTTCACACGTTGTCAACGCATTGTTTTGTTTCGTTTGTGTTACCTTTGGATATATATATATATATATATATATATATATATATAATGAAAAACAGACCAATTTAAATTGGTCTGTTTTTCATTAAATATTAGCTCTGTTCTTCACATTGAGCTCTCAGGATTTCATCCTCCTTGGATTTACCAATTCGGTTTACCAAGTTCTTCATAACTTAACTATATATATATATATATATATATATATATATATATATATATATATATATATATATATTCTTCTTTTATTATTTAAAAAAAATAATTCTTCCTTACACACGGCAATATGTCATTGTATGGGTAAAATCCGAGATTACACATCCAAGGAATATAATGAAAGCAAATCCAAAATTATGTATGTATTTCACCAGCCTTTTTGGTACAGTCCCGTTAACTGCTTTGTGTTTCGTTTTCTCCTTCTTTTATATTTTAGTTTCGCTGTAATTCATTTTTATTGGTAAAGAAAACGAGGTGACATTTCTGTTGTTTATTTCGTTATTTTAATTCATTTGCTACAATCGTTCACGGTGATATTGACCATATCAATTATTACAAACAATGCGACTCGAAGAATTCCAGGCAAATGGAATTATCGTTATGCAAATCGAGTCAAGTACTTTCGTCAAGTTCTCGCGACATGAAAATCCTTTTTAGAAACAGGAGTGATTCTACCGTTCTTCGATTCAATCAATGAAAATTAAGCGGAAGTCAGACATAGCACAGGGAATCGACTTCCGATGTTTCTAAAGACAGAGAACCAATTTTTAACAACCTCGCGCGACACTTCGTCAACAGATTACACGAAATGTGTGACGAAGTGTGAAGTCTGTTGATAATATGCCAATAAAAGAAGTCTGGTCGGACAATGAATTCCCCCGATTCGTTTCTTTCGCATCACGAAAGCAATATATTGATGTTTGGCGGGAAATCTGACGAAAGCAATATCGTTCAAATGTCACTTCGAAACTTCTTAATCATCAGTTAACAAATAACAAAAAAAAGTCCAGGACGTTTGCCGTAAAGCTTTGTTTAGCAAGATTGTTTCTCTAAACCGTTCGCTTTCTCGACTTCCATTTGAGACTCTGCTACTTTGCTCTTGTGCCAGACTAGGAAAACCAAAACAAATATCAATATTCCATTATATCTCCCTGGTAACCATCTTGCGATACCATTCATATATCAGGTATGCTTGCATGTGTTATATTGTGAGGGAGAGTCTGGATACCTATTGTCCTGCTGGTAGTAAACATTTCTTGGAGGTTTGCATTGATATTCATGCGAACATATTTGCTTTAATATGTGCTGTGAACACCATGAAGTCTTCCTAGGCTGGCCTTACAATCTAATACTCTTGCATGTATACGATCTGTTGGATTACCGCCTCCTGGTCATAATCACAAGCAAGCGGCGAGATTTTGAATTAGCACCCCCTGACGATAATTACAGGCGGTGTGAAATTTGAAAGAATCCATATCTTTCTCAGTAACTTTTCATAGGCGAAAGGAGATATTTTTCGCTCACTCAAATATGCAAGTACCTCAACTACACACATTGAAGGTTGCTTCGAATTCTGAACATATAATTTCATTGTTCCTTTTGTAAAATCTCCTCCTATCAATATATTTGGTAATATTTCTTGGTTTAAATTCTATGTCTTATTTTTCATTTGAGCTCACCAGAGTCCACCCCAAATTGTTTGCGGGTCAAATGTACCAGATGCATAAAAATCTCATGAAATCATTGAAGACCGCAGGAGATTGTAAAGATGACATATCGCATTCTACGATACGTTATTCTACGCTCCTTGCATATGTTGATGCAATACGGTAAGATTTTGTTCCATACATGACAAAATTGGCCACATCACGAAAGCAATAAAATACCTTCTCGATTTTCTGGACTTTGATTATATGAATGTGAAATGAAGAAAAATATTGAAAGCATTCGAACATTTTTCCGTTATCCGAACTAAATCCAGCCTAGTATTTCATCATGCGCGAGCGTTTCAAGAATTTAGAAACCATACTCAAAATTTTATTTTCAACCATTAAAGGAATGATTGCGTTTGACAAATATTAGTTGCGCTTTCAACCAGAAACTAACCTCACAAATACATCTACTTTTGTACAAGTTATAAGTTAGCGGCAGAAAAAACCGTGAGGCCAGCCAGAAAGAGAGAATAATTGATGCATATTTCTTTTCATCAATCAAAACCTTGAACAAAGTGTTTGTAATTGTTATTTATGATACAAATGTTAAACGTCTTTCAAGAAATTGTTTTTTTCTTTTCTTTTCCTTTTTTTTTTTTTTTTTTTTGTTGTTGTTTTTTTGTTTTTTTTTTATAATTTATGTATTCACTTATCCGGAATTTTAAATTATCCGAACATGTTTTTTCAAACCTTCTTTCAAGGAGACCGGATAATCGAGTAATCACCGTACATTGATTTTTTCCGTGTCATCTGACGAAAAGCAATGCTGTTCAAACGTCGCTTCGAAACTACTGAATTGTGCCAGCCTAGTCAGAGGTTTCAACTCTCGATAGATTCCAAAAGCCTGGTGACGAATTATTTTACACCCTGCAATCCGTTTCTCGCAGACGACACGTCGCAAGCTTCTCGCAGCTCAATCGCTATTTCGATGGAGAGTCTTCCGATGAACTACACACCCTGGTTCCACCTGTCATAACCTTTACTAACTAACTTAATTCCCTTTGTAGTCGTTTAGTGAGATGCAATTTCTACTCGAACAGTTTCTTTCCACGAACCACTGACCTGTGTAACCGACTGCCAAGAGGCTGCTTCACCGATCACTACAATCTTAACCTGTCAAAGTCTAGAATTAACCGTTATCTTCCACACATATCAGCATAAATGTGTGCCTTTTACTCTGTAACCCTCTACCTCGAGTAGCTCTCGGTCCTCGTAGAAATTGAACATCATTGTAAAAAAAAAAGTTAACAAATAAGAAAAACGTCCATGGCGTCTACCATAAAACTGTGTTAAGCGATTGATACATTGGTTCGTTTCCTACGGCTTATCAACTCTTTGCGGGTTATTTAAAACTAGAAAATATTTTTAGACTGTAAGATTTTTATTTTTCAGATAATAATGTTTCAGTTATACAAGTCTTACTAATTAACCCATAGCTGGGGGAAGGTGGATTCATTTCTTTACCAAGGGGAATTATACATAGGGAAATGTGACAAATCAGACTGGAATTCGAACTCAGCTCTATGATTAACAAATCCTTTACGTCACACGCACATCAAAGCTTACAGCACCTGGTACCCCCAAGCGGTCACTCATCCACGTACTGACCAGGTTCGGCGTTGCTTAAATTCGGTGATCGTATGAGAATCGGTGTTTCAACCAGATGTGGCCTTAGGATAGAAAACGGTTGGTTGAAGAGGTTAAGACGGTAGTGATTGCATTACTAACTGGGGAGCCGATTGCCAATTCCAGTTCATTGTATTCCCTTACGATTAAATACGCTTGGGAAATGTACGAATCCATCTCTTCTAAAGTAATAAACATAAGACAAGCATAGAATACTCCACCGCAAACGAGACTCTGCCCTTCGGTAAAGTCTGGGTTCCTCTCTGTCGGAAGGCAGAGAGTTCGACCAGCACAGTTGGAGACGCATCTCCAACTAATTGCCGAAATAATAAACAAAAGACAAGCATAGAATACCCGGTGAGGATCGAACTCACAAGACAGTAGTAATAATCAACGAGACTAGCTCACTCATCATTGCTCCAAGCCACAAGGCCATAAGGGGCATCTAGTGAGGATCAGACTCACTACACTGTAGTTATCGTCAACTAGGCTAGCTTTGCGAGACATTACTGAAGTACCTGATCTTCTTCTTAAATGCCATGTCCCCTCAGGACGTAGGCGATCATGGCTCGCTACAATTTCCTATCCCTTGAAACTCTAAATAAATTGTCTTTTCGTTATTTCTAAACCCTGTTCCGCCATCCATTTTCTCAAGCTTGTCTTGTATGTTATACAATGTTTTCCTCTCTTCCTCTTGCCCTCAATTTATCCTGTGAGTATCAGATTTTCCAAGCCCGCCTTCATCATTATGTGCTCTAGAAATTTCCATTGTCTCTTCTTGACGTTAAGGATAAGTTTCCTTTTTGTTTCCATTTTCTCTAAAACCTCGTCGTTGCTCACATGTTTGATCGATGTTATCCTCAGCATCCTTCTGTAGAACTACATTTCTGTCGCTTCAAGTCTCTTCATTTTTGAGGAGATTGTCCAGCACCCACTGCATTACAGGACATATATCACGTAACAGTTCAACATCTACATTCTCTTTGTTTCTATTGAAATTTTTCTATCTCTTAATACTCTGCTTAACTTTTGGAAGGCATTTTTCGCTATCCCAATACATCTTCGGGTTTTTGTATCGCAAACATATTTAAATCTTTGTGCTAGTTTAATTTTCACTGCGTTGGTTAAAATAATCCAGTGACTTAATCCAGAGAGTTGTGAGTTCAATCTCTGACCACAGCAGAGATGAACAAAAACTTGGTGAGTTGCGTTACTTAAAGGAAATAACTGAAACTGAGATATCCAGAAATGGCATGGCACGTGGAACTAGAAAAATCTACCCCGGTGGACAAAATAAAGGTTTCAGTTCGAAATTCTAACGTAGATCGCCTGAAGAACGCTGCAGCCTTCAACAGCCGAAACGTCGTGAATATGACAATACAGATGCGGGAAATAGTCCGAACAATGTAAATAATGTAAATAAATTATACTTTATTAGATAAATTGCATGTTTACCATTGCGATTTTTTATATATTCCATAAATGAAACACACATTTTTAAGATTAAGCTAGTTTTCGTAAAAGCAGAAATATTATATAACATTGTATTCTATGATCTATTTTTAATCATTTCATCCCAAGAACGGCAATAAAGCCACTAAGACGTGATGAGCTTACTGTGTGTGGAAGAATAAAAAAAAAGAAAACATTATTAAGGAGCGAGAAAAATGAAAGAACAGGAACCATAAAAGAGATAACGACTGACAATGAATTTCAATTATTGAAGATCAAAGATGTCTGGAAAACAAGAAGCCGGAAGAGAGTTCCACGGACGAGAAAAGAAACTGTTAGCAAAGAACTTACGGTTCCATCTAATCAATTCAACTGTAAAACAATGAGACCTTGTTGCTAATCTAGTCAGTCAGTTAAGTGTCATATGTGATACACGCTTGCGCAATCATCTCTCTTTCGAATTCAGAACTGACTAGGCCGATAATTTCCCCGTGGCAGGTTGCCGTTTCTTTCCGACCAAGATTATAGAACCCATTCTGTCCTGCTATTCAATCTACAGCTGGAGGAGGGCGAGAAGTGTTGGAACCTTCCCAGGGGTATTTGCATGTAAGTGAATGTAACGAACCCTACTAGAATTTGAACTCGGCTCTCCGATTTCTCGTTATGAACCAATTTTCATTACACTACGACACACGTTCCTTTCAATTTAACACTGCGCTTAAATTCTAGATACCACAGAGGAAAAGCTCATCAGAACAATTATCATGAAAGTATCTATAGAAACTGCGCAAGTGAGAAAGTCACTGAAAGCCGGGATGGAAGGTCAGGACAAATAACATTACAGATTCTTCTTTAGATTAAAATCCAAAATCAAGAATCTCCAAATATATAGCAGAGGCACCATCATTTAAATAATTGTCGCGAGGGTGAATATTTCCCTACAAGTTTGGACGAAAGACATAAAAACACTCCTACATGAAGAGGAGCAGCAGGAGGAGCAGTAGCCTTTGCTTAAAAAAGTCATTCACGGTTTAATATTCTCTTCCCTAATTTCTGTTCTACATTATGTTTCACTGTACCAAAAGGTAATAAACTTGTTAAACGAATTCGGGTTTCTACTGTAGTTTTGATGATTCAGTCACGACAATAATCTAGAAATAGATTAAGATTAAAAGTTGTGGTATTCTAAAAAGAAATCACTTTTGAATAAAAGCCATCAAAAAGCAACTTGTACGCGAACAAGGTTTAACGGAATGATAAGTTTTCACTGTGACTTGCAACTTTATTTAACAGCCCAATGCTCAAACTTTTCACGGCTGTCAACTCACGAAATGAAGAGCACCTCAAAATTGCTTCTCCACTCGTGGTGAGGATGTGGGAAAACAGAATCTTATAGCTGAAAACTTGAATATAAAAAAGAAAACCCGTTGTTCTATTCTAAGAACCAATTCCACACCATTGCAGTGGTCTCCTTGCATTTCCATTACCTGAAAATAAATACAAAGAAATATATTCTGGATATCACTCGTAATAATCTGGTGGGTAGTCTAAAAGTACGTAGTCTACTTTTCAAAATAAAATAAAAATTGTGAATAGCATTTATTAAAGTTTTTTCGATATTCATTAACGGTTACTTCCTACTACATAAGGCCAATATATCTAACGTTTGATAATCGAGTGTAAAAATGTCAAACTTTTTGAGAAATGCAAGATTGGTATCATCGAGAATTTCATAATGGAATCACAATTACGTTGGGCTGGCCATGAAGGCAAGGATGAGTGATGATCTCATACCAAAAGTTCTTTTTTTACAGTGAACTCCATAGTGGTCATAGAAATGTTGGTAGACCTTGGTTCCGGTACAAAGATAAACTGAAGAGCAACCTTTCTTGTGTCAACATTCCATTCAAGAACTTTGAAGAGGTGGCTATGAAGAGATCTTTTTCGCTGCCATTCAGGAATAATACACCATCGAGAAGTAAGCATCAGTCGACTACGGGAAACACGAAAGCAAAATAAGACAACTAACAGTGTTCCTGCTGCATTTGGATACAATGCATTCTCCTGTACTATTTGTGATCTTCTGTGCAATTCTCAAGCCGGTCTCAAAAGGCTCACCCGCCATAGGCATGCAGATAATTAGTTCGTGATCGTCGGAACCTCATACATCGAACTCGATGGGAGAGTCTATCATATATAGATAGATAGATAAATAGATAGATAGATAGATAGATAGATATATACAAGTTACATTAAAAACGACTGACATGGTACTGATATTAAGTTTTTTATTTAATTTTTGCGTTCTTAAAATTTTCTTCTTTTCTGGACATAATTTATGTAGAAATTGTCTGTATATTCTGCATGTCCGAGTGCTTTCGTCTATATTTTAGCCATTATCAAGGATGATACCAAACGTTTCAATACTGATAGATTTTCTTCTAATTATTATTAGCAGTAGTAGTAGTAGTATTTCCTCAGAATTTAATATCTGGTATTTAATGCATGAAAACAGGGTCACAACCTGTAGCCAAAGGTATTTTCCTCAAAGTGTTCATCAATTTCCGTATATTCTTCCCGTTTCTAAGAGACTTCCTTTTAGCAACAATTCTTCTTGACTTGATTTTATCTTTACCTCCTCTACTAGTTCTTGTCGAACATCACAACTATGTCCTCTTGGTAATTCAGATCACCCGCTATTATCTATTGATATTTCTTTTGTATTGTCTATTAGAAAAGAACCTCCTATTCACAAAACTTCTTTCTGTTACCCCGTCCTGAATATGACGATAAACTTCATCCGCGTCCTGGGCAAGACGATAAACTACATCCGACAGCAAAGCCTCTCATAATAACATAAACATTTTGACGATAAAACTTTATTTTTATTTTGAAAGTGTAAAAATAGGTTATAATACCAGAAATATTTTGTATAAAAAAAAAGAAAAATAAAGAATAGTACCAGAAATAAATTTTTGGAAAAAAACATTACCAGAAATTCTTTTTTGAGAGAAAAAAATAGCAGTAATAAAAATTTTGTTGGCATTAAATAACCCACTGAGGTTGATATGCCGTAAAAACAAACCAAACCAAATCATTCTGTTATCAACAATTGAGATTTATTTTGTGAATTTATTCGAGACTCCCCTCGGATTGATATTCTTAACCGCTTCCCATTGAGAATTGTGTCGCAGAGGTTTAAAGGCGACATTGGTGCTTGTGTACCATTTCGCAAATATCAACTGAAATCACAATCTTCTCCTTGATTCACACACAGAAAGTTCCAGTGATCAACGAATGCGAATTTTCTTTATTCATGTCTCTTTTCTCTCACTCATCGTACCAAGTACACCAATGACAACTGGTATGAGTGTGACTCTCTTTAACTTCTATAAGTTATATTTGATTAGTTTCTCTTCTTCAAATTTGCTCTTTCTGCATCAAAAGGACACGATAAATCAAACATTATCTGTTTTTCCTATTTTATCTATCAGTAATATGCCCGATATTTTGTACTTCAGTTTCATCATCATAACAGGATTTACGGCCATACTATGTCAAAACCCCGTTTAAAACTGTAGAAAAAATTTTCACTAAATTTAAATCTCAATTTTGTGTAAAAATAGGTTCACGTAAATTTCAAATTCAAATTTCCACATTAGCACTTATTAAGCAATCAACGACGTTACCCCAAACTTCATTCAAGCTCTGAAAAAGCATACGACAATTATTATCGTTTACTAAATTATTTAAAGGATTACACCTAGACAAGGATTAATAATATTTTCCCTTCTAAAAAAAAGAAATTAAAAATTATATTTATTGACCAATGAGTTTAGTAAATCAAACGTTTAGCTTCTTGTGATCCAATTTTTCTTATAAATGGCATACCATAACTTAATATTCTTTAGCCTTCAGTATAATTTTCGATACTGAATTCTCAAATTTTCGCATATTCAAACTAACTTATTGCTTGTGTACTAAGTTCTTTTTTGCAAATTTTTTTCTTGATGTTTCTTCTCGTTATTAAAGTAATTTCATAATCAGTTTTTCATAAACTGAGCGTGATATAGACCAACGATAGTTGTAGCAGCAATACAAATATCAGGTTACGGCTTGCCTGCCGCTGGAAGCACACTAACGCACATAATAAATCGTTGACTTTCGCATCAGAAATTCGTACAGATTTTCCATGTTTTACCAGCACAATTCTTTTCTTTTGTGTTGTAAAATTTAAAAACAAAACATTTTCCGTACGAACTTTGTTTGCGAGGAACTTTATAACTTGTTTTTTCAACTTCAAAGGCGAAAAAAATGGTTATTTTTATACTCAATAAAAAAATTATTTAAATTTGTAAAGCTGTGTTTGAAGATTTTTTTTTCGTTTTACACACACTTTTTCATCTACACCGAAGTTAAGCAACGCCGTACCTAGTCAGTGTCTAGATGGATGATCGCTTGAGAATACCAGGTGCAGTAAGCTCGGATGTGTTGCTGGTGTAATAGATAACAGCCCGGAATTGTTAATCGGAGAGTCGAGTTTCAATTCCAGTAGGGTTCGCTGCATTCACTTACGCTCAAATACTGCTTGGGAAACGAATGAATCTACCTCTAGAGGTTAACTAGCAAAACTTGTATGATTAAATTTTTATTATTTGCCCTCCGAAAAGATTCTTAGAATGTAAAATATTTTCAGGCTTTAAATAACCTGAAAAGGGTTGATAAATTGTAGAAAATAAATGGATCTATGGATAAAACAATCATTATTATTAATAGTACCATTTTTTTCCCTTTTTTGCTTTGTACCAATCCCTTAACGGATCATTATCCATGACTTATGGTGACGTAAGGGAATAAATATCTGCATCCTGTTCGCAATAATGCTGATGTAATGTTATATTTAATATGTACAGTTTTATATACTGTTTATATTGCTAATACTCTCCTAATGGAGCAGTTCCACACAGTGCATTTTTTTAATCTCTTGTCAGTCTCTGCCAATGATTTTCATCGTGTTACAATTACTAGGAAGAACAATAGTTTTACGGTGCCATTGTTCTTCTGTTTCAAGATCCGTATATTTACCTATTTTGACATATTCCATAACAGACATTTTTATCTGATGGCACTACCATATCCATAAAAAGGCATTTCTGGCCTCTTTAATTACAATGTCGTCTACTACTACTACTACTACTATTATTATTATCATCATCGTCAACAACAACAACAACAACATTTTTCTTGATGTTCTGTTTGAGACAATCATTTGTTAATTCTTTTGCCTGAAGCAAAGAAAGGAATTTCTTTAAATGCTATTGAGCATTTGATATTGAGAAGATTTTCCCCGGGGGTATGCGAGTGGTGCTAAGGAACATACTCTGAAACCGTTTGTAATTCCCTGTGATTTTCATAATGTGTGTAGCAGTAGATTTGTTACCATCCCACGTGCCTCTGTTAAGAGTGGAATGGCGGTTGTGCTTAAACGTCATTAAGGGGTACAGGAGGGTAATGGAATTCGGCTCGGATTGAGAAATCGAACAGCCGAGGTCGAATTCCAGTCGAGTTGATTATATTCGCTTACGTTTTAACGTTCACACCTTTTCATATTGTATTAATCTAACATTTTTCATATTGTATTAATCTAACATTTTTCCTCCAGCTATGAGTAAATAGCAGGACAGACTTGGTTTTATAGCCTCGAGTGGCAACGGGTCTAGAAGAAGGAAAACTCTTAATTCAAAACTGTATGTAGCCCTGTGCTGCTAAAGGAAAAGACCATTTGCATTGACTCGATGATCCCAACTAGGGTCGATTCCTTTTTTTTAATGCCACATTCTTACCATTTCTATTGTCAGACACTTATATTTCGAAAGCTTTTCAAATTCATTTTCTGAGCCATTTTTTTTTTCTCATCATGCCTACGTTTTTCGAAGACGTATTGTTATATCACGGTGGAGTAATGGATAGCGGCTCGGATTGAGGAATTGGAGAGCCGAGTTCGAATTCCAGTCGAATCCATTACATTGTTAGACGCGCTGATATGCTTTTCCCCTCAGCTATGGGTAAATATCAGGAAAAACCGAGTTCTATAGCCTTGGATGGCAACTGGTCTACGGCAGAAAGAAATAGCAATCTACTACAGGAAAAACATCTGCCTCGTCAGTCATGTATCGAAAGCTACATGATCGCCTACGTATGTATCACGCATGGGAATGACTGACTGACTGATTGTTATGTCTGTTTTATTGGCTGGGATAGTGGGGTCGGTATATATGGGGAAGTACCAAGCCACTGTAACATATTCTACTTCTAGCAATGGTGTTGTTTTGTATTCATAGCAATTTTATAAATGGGGAAGATCATAATGTTAACATAGCTTCTTGACTTTATATATATATATATATATATATATATATATATATATATATATATATATATATTAATCGTTTCATCGCAATGCAAGGTGATAAGGCCACTAAGACGCGAGGGAGTTACTGGGAATGAAAGAGAATGAGAATGAGAAGACTTGAGTGAGGAGAAAGAACAATAAAAGAATAGGTTCAAGAAGACAGAATATGGCGGTTGTTAGATCAAATTTTTATTATTTTTCTTATTGTTGTTTTTAATCATTCCACCCCTAGGAAAATGATAATGCCACCAGCACACAAAGACCTAATGGGAGTGAAAGGGAATCAAAAGACTTTAGGGGGGACAATAAAAGAGTTCAGGAAGACAGACCGTGGCGGTTGTCGTTGCATTTTTGGATATTGTACGTGGCAGAGAAGCAAGAACTTGAAAAGGGGGTTCCACAAGCGAGAAGTGTGAGAAAAGAGACTATTAGAATAAAACCTACGGTTGCATATAGCTAGTTCAACAGTAAAATGGTGAGACCTAGTTGCCAATCTAGAAGCAGGCTTAAATTCATACAATCGGGGTATCAAGTAGGAAAGCACACGAGAACAATTGCCATGAAAATATTTGTAGAAAAGACAGAGGGAAGCCACGTCACGTCGGTGTCTTAAGTCGAGATGCTAGGTCAGGCTCAATTATATTACAGACTGTTATTTGAATTTTCTCAACAATCTCTCTCTCTCTGTCTGTCTGTCTGTCTGTCTCTCTCTCTCTCTCTCTCTCTCTATATATATATATATATATATATATATATATATATATATATATATATATTATTTACATCATTCGGAATTTTGTCCTCATATTGGTTGCGATATTTATCACATTTCGGCCGTTGTACGCGCCGGTATTCTT